CCGCTTTATATTAACACTTCCTGGTCCCGATTCTATTTCTGAACGTCTCCTGTTCACGTCCAGTCAAACGAACTATTTTCAACGTTTCTGGAACGTTTACGATCGTTCTATAATCGAACCAATATTCGAGTTTTATGTTCGAATTTAATTCGAACAAAACATTCGAAATAGAAAGCCACTTTCAATTACTTTCAAGCCCATATCTCCCGCACCCTTATAGCTATCGAGACGCAACCCTCCTGGTGCACGAATGGAGACTTGGGGCTACTACCACATACCACATACATACACGTGCGATGTGTAGTTTTGGCGGAAAAGTGAAATATAGGGACAACATACATGTCCATATATATATATATATATATATATAGATTTTAAAAAGCAAAAATGGTCAATACTCCGATCACTCAATTTGATTCTTATTTTAGTAATGAAAAGTCCTAATACCGAGAATGCCCTTTCCGATTCAATTGACGTGAATGGAATTCTGTCTTCTCTTAAATGCATTAAACACATGTTATGTGTATTTTCGCCTGTAGCCTGGAAGATTTCTAGTTCGTTTTCGAGTTTGTAGTACAGTAGAGCATTGATTATCCGACCCCTGATTAACCGTCACATCGGTTAACCGACCGTTCTAGTCGGCAAATTTCAAATGTCCGCTAGTGATGTGGCATTACAATATTTAGCTATGTCTTGGCTACTTTAATATTATTTTTGTTAAACTTTTGCGTGTTTTAGCTGGCATCAACGGCTCGACCATTGAAAGGAGGCCAGTATTTAAACGAGACTTAATTTTCTAATTATGAGTGGTTGTTTGTTTCGTGAGCAATAAAAGAATTTAAAAATAATTTTTAACGATACAATAGCGACGATTATTATTTTTTTTTAAAATTTGTTAGGCTAAACATTGATGAAAATTCAACGCTAAGTTGGTTAATAGCGATATACTAATAAACTAATTTCATGGGATATACTAATATCCTAATATACTATACTAATAATGTATTTTTTCCTTCTTTTCGGTTATCCGATTTTTTCAGTTATCCGACCAACCTGAGTCCCCAATTGAGTCGGATAATCGATGCTCTACTGTATTAATATACTGTAATATTATCTATATCCATTATATATATATATGGTCCGCAAAGAATAGCTAGCACTAACTGGAAGGAGACCCACACGCTGAACATTTTTGTGACGATGCGTGGAACCGGCCGGGTTAGCTATCCAATGTCCTACCCCACCTCCACGTGGTGCGGACTGGCAGCTTTCATCTATGGTACCAACTCTTGAAATTGTTGCCACAAATGGAAAGACCAACAGGGAGGGCTACCTACACTCACTCACCAACCCGCCTGGCCAGCGTGGTAAGTTATGGCCAATAACCCCCAAGATGAAAACACAACTGAAACCACGGCCCTCATTCCCCGGAGGCTGGATTACACCTGGTCAAGGCAGCGACCAGTGCTGTATGAAAGCAGAGGGTGCTAAGAATCACCGGGCTGGACCTGGCTGCCATTTGATGATGAACCTGGCTTACTATAATGGCAGATCGCTCTCTTCCGAACCAAGACTACAAGAACTGGAAGAAGAACTTCTCAAGATCAAGTGGGATGTGACAGGACTGAGTGAAGTAAAAAGAAATGGTGAAGGTCAAATTCAACTGCAAAATGGACATATCTTCTACTACAGAGGCACAGAAAATGGAAAGAATAGTGAAGCTGGCTTTATAATAAACAAAAGGTTGAAAGATACCATCTTAGAAGTAGATAGTTCTTCAGGTAGAGTGGCAAGATTAGTTCTTAGACTTTCAAAAAGATATAAACTACAGATCATCCAAGTCTATGCTCCCACAACAAGTCACCCTGATGAAGAAATAGAGGATTTTTATGATGAAATAAAACAGATGAATGAAAAAGGGAAACACTATGTAAAGATCATCATGGGTGACTTCAATGCAAGAATTGGAAAAAAGGAAAAGAATGAAACCTCCGTTGGTAAATTTGGACATGTTGGTAAATTTGGAAATAAACGTGGAGATATGCTTGTGGATTTTGCTGAGGCGGAAAAGTTTTACATAATGAATTCATTTTTTAAAAAGAAGTCATGCAGAAAATGGACCTGGCGCCACCCAAACGGAGGAAAATATGAGAGTGACTATATCCTATCGAAGAAACAACACAACGTTGAGAACTGCAATGTTCTGAATAGATTTAATACAGGCAGTCACCACCGGCTGGTAAGATGTAGGCTTCATCTTAACACTAGATTGGAACGAAGAAAGCTTATGAGAACAACAAATTCTGTTGACTTGAAGAATCTTAAAGAGCAACATGAAACATTCGAAATGGAACTGAAAAACCGATTCTCAGTCCTGGAAAATTTAACTGAAGAGGAAACTGACATATCAGAAATTAACAGACAGATTACCAAGATCATTATGGAAACAGCTGCTAAAATTGGAGGATATGTAATCAGAAAGACCGACAAGAAAATAATAGAAAAAAACAAGACAATTGATGGACAAAAGAAGGATGATGAAGAGAATTAAAGAAGATATAACGTCAAACATCGAATACTCGGAACTCTGCAAAACAATCCGGAAATGTTTTACTGAAGACATCAGAAAGTAAGTACATTGTGACCTTGTGAAAACAGCCCTTGAAAACAACAGAAGTCTGAAAAATGCAAAACAGCAATTAATAAATGAGCAGAGCTATAGAGGATTGACTGTCTGAGATGATGGACACTTTAGTATTGGTATAATTTGAGTCAGACCAGGCAATGGCCATTTTGATTGCATACATTTCAGCCTGAAAGGCTGTGCAACAGGCACCAAGCTTGAACTGCCCTGAGGCAGTCTCCACATTGTCCCGGTAGACCACATAGCTACTGCCCACATTAGAATTTGTCATAGATCCATCTGTAAAGATTTGAATATCAGCATCATCAGGTCGCGAGAAGTTTAGTTTCTTAAGAGAAGCAGGGTGTTTAGTATCAGCGAATTGGACTGGTCGTTCTAACTCTTGACGATGTATTTGTTATTATTGGCATGGATGATGTTGTCCCACTTTAACTGCCAGATTTTTTCTTGTAGTCAGATGTAACTGTCAATAGGTGCCTTCCTCGCAAGGATTTGAGGAGAAGGGTTTGGGGTTGTGGAGTAAGCTTTGGTAATATGCATTAAGGCAGTTTTTTGTGCAGCAATAAGTTTGCGCTTGATGTGCACCTTGCGAACAGCCCACCCNAACAGTAAAAATTAAAATATATCTGTACCTAGTTACAAATTGTTAACTAGATGCATTTTTAATGATATTACAAAAATGTATTATTGTACAACTAAACAAAAAACTTATATTCTATAAAAATTAAACAAAAGTACATCAACTATATTAAAATCAAAAGAAACTTTTTTCTCACTTTTTGTTCTGCAAACTTTTTTTATTAACTCTTTTAAGTTTACTTGATCGGCAGTTTCATGCGCAATCGACAAAAAGGTCAAACTATTAAGATGATTTTGCGTGGTATCGGAACGTAAAAAGTTTTTAATTAAGTTTTATTTAGAGAAACTCCTTTCCCCCACTAGCTACAGTTATTGGTATGATCGGCAGTATTCTTAAGGTGACACTAAATTTTGGGACAAAATTTAACATTGTTGCTTATGCTTGCCTTTTTTGCCCAAAAGCGCTCTTTTATGTTTGTTTTCTTCAGAATTAAGGAATGCAAATACAGTAAAACATGTCTATGGCGACCACCCACCGTTCCTTCAAAAAGTGGTCTTTTAGACAGGTGGTCGTCCAATACATGTGGTGCTGTAATACCGTATTTCCGTACGTATTTTGCGCACTTTTTAGCCATTTCTACTAAGCAAAACTCGAGGTGAGCAAAAATAAGCGAATTTTTTCAACGATAGGGCTATATTGGTATTGTATTTTATTCTTATCGGATAACCCAATTTACGGGAGTCGTCATGTTATTATAAGACAGATTTAACACCAATATTTTAAAGATTAATACAATACTCGCATTTTCTCGATTAAAATGCACACTTTCTTTTTTCCGACTTAATTAATTCGACTCGGTTCTTTCGTTCGCTCCTCAGTTACGTGTATTACGTCATCGATATACAAGCGCGTCCTATCTCTCCATCACTTTGCTTTTGGTTTTCGTTAGTTTAATCTTATTTTAACTTTAAAAATACTGTATTTTTTA